GAAAATATATTCATTAGTTGAAGGACGGCGTCTGCTTATGCATGATTGGTCCCTGATGTGACGCCATCAGAACATCACTAAATCTTATGCAAAGCGCTCGTATTTCCCAGATCCTGAGAAGTGCTTTTATTTGTGATAATTTTGTCATCGACTGACAGGCAGTTGACGTAAAACTTATTTGATTGCCATCTGTAAGCTTCCATGTTTTTTAGTGCCATATTGTGACTTTTACTAATTCTCTACTTTTAAATTCTAAGGTAACAAACCAAGTTGAAGAGAGAGTGTGATGTCTGATGAGAACCAGAAAGATATTACATATAAAATCATGAAGTAACATCCTTCTTTTTTTCTTTTTTTTCTTCATTTCAATTCAATTCAAAACTTTATTTTAAATTCATTTAAAACAGCAAAATCATGTCATATATATTATGATATACATACAATATAACAAGATGATATACGGAGAAACATTTGTAGAAACAAATCCTGAAAACAGAGTATTAAAAGAAAAGACTACATGTAAATATACTAAACCAAGTAGGTGACTCAGAGTCAGGTACAAACATGACAAATGCACAACAAAATTTGAAGAAATGAAGAAAAAAGGGTTTGCATGTAAATAGCCAAATTAGGCTTGTGAAAATTGCACATGCGCATGTTAATTTCAATAACAATAACAATGTGATATGAATAATAGAATACCAGGCTAATAATATAGTTCTTTGCCCAAGCAGTGAATAAGATCCTTGGTCTGACCATTCAATAGGGGATGGTTAGACCAAACCAAACATTGAGATGGTGTACTCAGTAAACATCACCATGTTTGATGAGCCAACCATTAGGGTCAACCAATAGCAGGGTCAGGTTCCTTTGGTATACAGGTCTATAGGTAGTCGGATTACTCTGGTATACAGGTCTATAGTCAGCCTGTGATGATCAGTCATTTGTTATCAAAATAGAGCGCTGACACATTTTGAAAGTCAGTGAAACATGAAGTATTTGTGGATAACAACCACATTTTACAATGATACAGTGCTTACATGTAGATTTATTATGAAATGCTGTGCTTACAGATTACAGATTTCTATAGATGAATTCTTATGAAATAAAATAAAAGATAAGATAATGTCCTATAATAAATTTATAAAATCAAGTCAAACATTAGTATGACATTATTCCTCAACTAAACAGTAGAGGTGTCAGTGTCTAGTGGATACTTGGCTAGACTGTGGTTCAAGTCCCACTGCATCACCAATGTCCTTTGGCAAGACACCAATTCATATATACATTTGCCACTCTCCACCCGGGTGTGGTAAATAGGTACCTGGTAGGAAAAAATTCCTTGAATGCTTGAGTACCCTATCATGGTAGCTTGGCTAAAGCTGGGTATAATATGATTGTAGGACCCTCTGGCACCTACATGTAAGCAGAATTTGGGATTGATATATATCATTTTGCAGTATTAAAGCAGAAGTCTTTATAGAAATATGTTGATACATGTATATCAATAATATACCGTGAACTAATTTATATTGTGGTAAAATGATACAACTTAATGGTATTTCTATTCTCTATAAAGGGTCTATTGAACTATGTTGATTTTACTAAAGAAGCATGAAATCTAACCATGCATGTAACCAAGCAGAACATATATTGAACAAATAGCTGACTGATCATTGATCATGGTTTCTTGTCCTGTAGTCTAATTATCAGTCGTGACCTGTATTTTCAATTGTATGATCATTGACTTTTAGAAACCCAATTATTTTCGTTTCATTTCTGCAATGCTTTCGATACAATTCACATCAATGAAATTACAGTACGATACCATATTCAAGAAACTTCAGGGTTCCCAATGCACATTTTGATAAAGTATAATAGATCATGAGATGTTACCCAAACTTGACTTGGTTCATATGCTAAGTAATTTCATGCATTTCTTATTACCGGTAGATACATGTACATGTACACTGTTAAAACAAGTATTACAAAACTGCGGGTTAAAAAATTGTTGATTAAAAAACGCTCAACCTTGGTTAAAAATGTAGTGTTGATTAAAATTTACTTTTAATCTTGCGTTGGTTAAAAACAGTGTTGATCAAAATTATTCCTTTTAACCTATGTTGGTTAAGTCTAAGTCGTTGGCAAAAATTGTAACCTAGCATGGATTAAAAAAAAAATTCCGACAGTAATGATAGCCCCCTTCTGGTTAAAGTTTAATCAATGTTGATTAAAGTACTGGTCACGTGACCCAACGGAACGATATCGAAGCGCGTAGCTAGCGATCGCTCGACATACAAATAAAGTACATGCAAAGTACATGCAGTTTACGCGTGCGACAAAATTAACAATGGAGGTTGTCGCGAGGACCTGAGAAATGGGGGTTCGGACGGTCTTATCTCCGTGTTTTCAGGTAAGAAATTATTTTAATATTATCATCATCAATTCTAAGATTGTAAGGAAGAAGTGAAATAAGGTTCTTGCTCAAATCAAAAACGATTTGTGTCCCCTAGGCTGTACGTAGCTCAACCAATAAGTAACATTTCACTTGCACCGTGCACCTGGCTCTCTCGTAAGCACAGTACACACACACTCATCAGTCTGCAAGAATCTTCAACCGTGAAGGAGGCAGACCAAATTACAAAAGGAGAAGTGTAGGCCTATTACGGATCACCTACCCAAATTGCATGCATGAATAATAATCTTATTTTTTAAATCTAATTGTATCTAATTGTTTAAAACAATTAAATATAAAATAAGATGTCATCATAAAGTGAAACGTCTTTATGCATGCAATTTGGGTAGGTCATCCGTTACATTTACTGGCTGAGCTGAGCTACAACCTACGGGCCGGGACAAAAAGCGTTTTTAATTTGAGCAAGAACCTTATTTCACTTCTTCCTTACAATCTTAGCATTGATGATAATCATATTAAACAATTTCTTACCTGCAAACACGAGGATAAGACCTCCAAATCCCCGTAAGTTTAACCAACAGTGGTTATAACTGTAACCAAGTTTAACCAACATCGTGTGAATCAAAAAAGAATTAACCTACAATGGTTACAATTTTAACCAACGGCCCATGTAAGTTTAACCAACATAATGTGAATCAGCCCCGAACAAAGCATAAATAACCAACAAAAGATTAAATTTTTAATCAACAAATGGTTAAAGTTTAATCAACACCATTTTAACCAACATTGAGCAAATTTTTTTAACCAATAATTGATTAAAATTTTTAATCAACCACAGGTTAAATTTTAATCAACAGGCTGTTGGTTAAAGTTTAACCAACGATTGTGTGATTCACCTGGTAATCCGTGGTTGATTAAAATTTTAACCAACTTGATTAAAAATTGTAATACTTGTTCTAACAGTGTATATGTTTTCCATGAGGGATTTGTTGAAATATTTTTCCTTTCTGTTTAGAGACACTGGATAAAATCATCCTTATACTTTACTAACATCGACAGGACCAAAACCAGGGCTCCGTCTAATTAAGACTAAAGAGTTGATATTAAAGATAAACTCCAGTATTTTGCAACTATATACATAAGAGGTAGGGGAATGTAAACTTGCGATTGAAGACAGGGCCCAGACCAACAACAGACCGATGAAAATATTATATTACATCTATGGCAAATAATCAATCGATTTGAAGTCGGTCTAAAGTCGATCTGGCGGTGTGACTAAAGTATTAGCCAAAAGTACATGTATTTTCCTCACAGCTCGTCCAAATCCACTCATGGGTTACTGTAAATGATATTTTCTGTGCAAAGGAAATTCCAGACATGAAACATATCATGCTGTTGTCATGGTAACTCTCCCATGACACTGTATGATTCACCACCATTTTTTCAGAGTCATTTATGTGACAGTCTTTCCCAAGTCATGAAATGGAGACGATCAGATATGAATCAGGCTTAGTATATGAGGTGAGAGACAGAAGCCATGGGATATCTATCGGCTCTGTGGTATCAGGAAGCTAGAAATCAGACCACTTTCTTATCGCATAGGAATACCATTACAGTGCATTCATACAGGTTATAGCCATTGCGAAAGAGGTTCAACATGGAGATAAATTTGTTCACTTAAATTACAAAACCAAATACATGGAGAGCTTATTTGCACTTTATTCAAGTTACATGTACTTTTATTTGAGCAGATTTGTCTTGTTAATTCCTTTGCGAGTAATATACATTGTACATGTACTGTTTCGTCGCTGTTTTCACGAAGTGACGGTAGTGAAAAAAAATTGCATTCACTTTGCGTTACGATTTTCCTCACCACCGTCACTTCGTGAAAACAAGGACGGTCTGTTTATAATGTTACCGGTTTAATGTGTGGCATTCTGTACATGATTGTGATATAGACAATGATGTGGCCTCATATTATGTCTGTGATCTCCAGTCAAGCTACATGTAGCTGAGTGATAGACATCTATTTAGTAATGAATGATCTACACATGCTCAGCTGGCTTCTGTGAGCCCCATATCAATTACATTTGTCTTGATCTGTAATGTATAGTGTGGTGCTTTGAGGTCATCTAAAAACCTACTGTACTCCAAAGATGGATTTGAGAGGCAAGTCGTTATCATCAGTTGTTCTTCCACCAGTCGTCAGGAGTTTTGTCCTGTTATGAATTACATGTAGTATATGAACAATACTCGCTCTTGTTGATAGGCCAGCATTGCTATACACCACCTTCCCCTGGTGCAAAATGAAATGGAACAAAATGTTGTTTAAATGTCAGTCGCTTTCTGTTTTTGGACATACTTGGTTCAAACCTATGCAGAGCCTGTCTCTGCTGACTCTGAACCAAAATCTGTTTAGGTTTTCCAGAGGTCAGTCAGAGCTTTCTGGTTTCTTTCATTGTTACATGAAAACCAATACACATCACAGTATATACTAATTAGTAAAATCAGGTTAAAGGCAAGAGTAAGTTTGTTTTGTTTGGCAAAAATCCTTAATTGATAAAAATTATTTGTGTTTTTACAGGGCCTTCGTGGGTTTAGCAGCCCGGTAACGCAGCGCAAGCTGCGCGATCGTCGTCGCACTCAGCAAAGGATGCTACCACCCCCTAGCAACACACTGAGAATGCCTCGACAACCAAGACCAGGCCGTATGGCCGTCATCGTTGATTCCTTGAAGACTGGACTCCGGTAAATATATAGAAATAAAAAAATTCTTAACAATTTTTTTTTTCTTTACTTATTTTATAGTATATAGTAAAAGTGAGATATGTCAGTGTAGTTTCTTTTGTATTGATTTGGTTATTTATCACAGCAGTTTAAGCTTTCCACAGTCAACCTCCCCTCAGCTCTTGTCTGTTCCCCCACACATTAACACCTACACCAGACCATATGGCTGACATTGTAGAGATCAGACATGTATTGGTAGTGAGACTAATGATTTTTCACACATATTATTTGATTTTCCTACCTCTTTATCATGTAACACCTCGTGAAACCAATTGGGTGAGATCGCTACGGTATATAAATAAACATGTTATTATCATTATTATTATTAGCAATGAGAGTAATAATTTTTCCTTTGATGTAAAAGAGATTCAATACATATCAAATGATTCTTCAACCTTCACACCATGTAACGCCCCGTGAAACCAACTGTGTGAGAGCGCTATAGGAATTATGAACATATTATTATCATTATCATTATTAGCAATGAGAGTTTAATGATTTCTCTTTCGATTTTTTCAGAGATTCAATACGTATTAACTGATTTTCCCACCTCATCATGTAAAGCACTGTGAAACCAATTGTGTGTGAGCGCTATAGAAATGAACATATTATTATTATTATTATTATTATTATGATTAGCAATGAGAGTAATGATTTCTCTTTTGATTTGACAGAGATTCAATCCGTGCTAGCAATGAGAAGCTAGAGGTGATGAAGGAACATCAAGAAGAGACCAAGGCTACAGATAAATCAAGACAAGGATTTCATTACAATCTAGACAAGGTTAGTCCCATCTCTCTCCCTAGGCCTGTCTTCATCAGCTCAAGTTTGCCAAATAACCCACTGTCCCGATTGCAAATTTGAATAATTTATTAGATAATTTGCGCCTTCATCGGCCCGCAGTTGCAATTAGCTGGATATTTGGTCGAGAAAATATCCCAAGAAATCTTGGTCTTCTTTCCAAAATATCCAGCTATTTAGGAAATTTAGGGCTAATTTGCACTTGTCCGAGCTATTTTGTGATAAGCATATTGGTCTGGTGAGGACACAATTTCGAGCTTCCGGATAATATGCAGAGTCTGAAAGTAGGGTTATTTGGCAAACTCAAGCTGATGAAAACAGGCCTTCTCTCTCTCTCTCTCTCTCTCTCTCTCTCAAATCATATGATTATTGGTCCTTTCCTACCATTTATCATTATGCACTATTTATCGTACTTACAGTATATCTATTGGGCCTTGATGAAAGCTTCAGGGCTTCTGAGACCCCTATAGGTGCCCCAAATGATATACTATTGGTTGAATGAACAAGTACCTGTAGTATTACACACTTAAAAATATCTTTAGAGAGGAAATATATTATTTATCTACAGTTTTATGCTGACAGATGTTACATTTGGGCCCTTAAAATCAGACTTTGGGTACCTGATACATATTAGGCTATCAAAGCCCCGTACCCACAATGTATCATTGTATTTTGATACCGAAATAAAGATTTACTATGGTCCTATTACCCCGGATAATAGTTTAAAGCAGTCATCTAGACTGTCTAGAGTAGCTGATCCCTTTGGCCCTTTTGGAGCAACTTTACGGCTTTTCTGGTTTTCTGTGGGTTTTCTACACCAAACGAACATTTTTAGCCCGAATAGTTGCTCTGAAATGCATAATAATAATGATGGCCCCCAAACATAAACTTTGGACACATTTTATCAAAACTCAGTTGGTGGTAAGGTTTTCAGCTTCAAATTTTACGTAGGAATCAACATTAAAATAAGGTGAACACCACTTCCCTGTTGGAGTCGTTGGTGTACCCTAACTACATGTGGAAACAGGAATTCCTCTTCCTGATGTCAGTGATTGTACGTCGTAGGACTTAGTTCCTTTCAAAAGATATAGTGCCTTTGTTTCAGATACATATCCGTAGAGCCATTGTGTATCACTACGTGGTTTGAAATTAATGACCATATAACGAAACCTCAATCTAATGTGGGTTATGAATGTAATGCACAGGAAAATAGTAATGAAATTAGTTTCCTTGATTGGACTGGAGTTAACCTCAAATTCATTAAAAATGTCAGTGTAAACAAATATATTATGTCTACAACATACTAGCTGTTAAGTCATTGTTGTTTTAGACTTTGTACTACCCGGTACGTCAGTGTTTAATTTATTGCAGTGTTTCCAAAGATTTGACCTCTTGACTTTTCTTGTTAAAACGTCTATGCTATCTGTTATGAGGCAACTACTGTGTATAATCTCCTAAGTAGTTTTAGTAATATTTGTGCTTAAAGTTGTCAAGAAATACTGTGTTATTCTAGACATTTTCATAGAGTTATATATTCTGCTGCTAGTCTTGTCTTGGTATTGGTTGGGTTATGTATGCACATTTTAAAACACTCTTTCAGTGTTTTATTACAGAGGTTTCAACCACTTAGACTTCTCTTTATTACCCATTATTTTGGATACACAACGGCCTGTCTTTCTTCTAGAGATTCATACCTGGTTTATGTCGCTTTATGAATTGCATTGTAACATAACATAGAAGAATGGTTGAATCAAGTAAACCGTTCTGAAGAGAAATATAATTGAAATTTTCTCTCATAAATTTGAATTTTCATAACTGTTTGAAAACCTGGTAATTTTACAAGGGTTTTATGACAAAAATTGATATTTTTTTTTTCTCTCTCTCTCTCTCTCTCTCTCTCTCTTTACACTGCAGCAAACTAAAGCAGCTGAAAGATATATAAGGTAAGCTTAATTTTTCAAATAAGTTTATTCTTTGCATTTAATTTAGTTTGATTTTAGTGACTTGTTCCAGATAATGACCTTTGTAGCAGCTCATTTGCATATATGGTAAACTGTCTTATAATGTAGTCTACAAACTACAGTGTACAATGTCACGAGTAATATCCTTTCACTTTCAATGGTTTTAAAGTCTACCATGATATAAAGTTGGTTTTAAAGAAAGGAGGAAATTAATAAAAGGATCAGTGAGAATTTAAATTGTACCAATCACCAAAACATGTTTTGTTCTAGGTGTATAAAAAGGTATCATTCTATTCTTCTACTATAAAAGACATCTTTTCATTACTATCATTACTTAAATAAAAGATATAGTTTCACTATTATAATTACTGAAATAAAAGAAATAATTTCATTATTGTAATTATGTTAGAGGTTCTTTCCATTGGTTCTATTATGAGTTTACAAATGTTTATGTGTTTTATTTTCTGTTTGATAGGAAACTTCAGTTTCATCTTGCCAAGGTAGAGGAACTCCAGGAGTTATATGAGAAAGAACTAAAAGTCAGGGAAGGTAAACATGAGAAAACATTTACACTTTATTAAAATATCTTATTATTTCAGGTATCATCATGTTTTAATATGTGCAACAGCAATTGATAAAATAATTATCATTGTTTTACAAAATATAAGTATAATAGCAAACCTGAAACATGTGAAAGATACATGGAAACAAAATAAGCAATTGAATAAAAAATGCTTTATATTTATTGAATGGAAATGTTCAGAAAACGGCTAACAGTAATTTATATAAAATCAGTTGTTTTGGTGCATTATTTACATGTACTTAAGTTCAGCAAAATATTTGGCAAATCCTATTGATAAATCTGATAGTAATAAAATAATGTATAAAACAGAACTTACAGTCTTGCAATGTAACATATTTTTTGGTAAGGTTTCAATGGTCAGGGCCTCATATTACACAAAGCTTTAATAGCAAGTTTTAAGTATGATTGCATTTTGCGATTGATTGCGCAAAGTCTATCAAAGCAAGTCAGTCACAAATATCAATCGTACGATCAATTGCTCAGCATTATATTACAGGGCCGAGAATGGCAATCATCGATTGTGTTACTATAATTAGTTTTATGTCACTGATTCATGTAGTAACATTAAATTCTTTCTACATTTCTTTCTACATTCACAGGTGCAGTCAACATGGTGAAGGCATACCACGATGCTAATTCACCTAAAGCTAAGGAGCCTGTGAGCGAGGCTAAGGTTGGAGTGCGAGACTGCACACAAGCTTTATGTCATATGGAGGCTGAATTGGAGGCTAATCTTGGTGCCTTTGTACTGAAGATTGAAGGTGAGATTGGATGTCATCAAAGATGGGAGAAGGAATCTGATTTTGCTTTCATTGCTATTTCGAATGAGGAGCTAAGGTGTTTGTTGATGAGTTGATAAATCCTCCTTATCCTGAGTCATTATGAGTTCCTGGATTGGAAAGCTCAGAGAACATCACCATGCCCGATCTCAAACAGAAATAATTGATTACCATACATCTTTCTAAGAGTTTTGAGAATCTCATAATAAACATTAATCCTTTTTTCAATGGTTATCTTTTCTTTACAATTCTGATAAAGTAAATTTGTATATAATGCTTCTTAAATGTGTAGGAAATGCTTGCTCTGTAGTTGAGACCTCAGGGGGGCCATTATGCCCCCCCCCCCATAAATTTGTAAAACCTAAAAAATGCCCAGTCTTTTTATGTATAAACCACAAGAATCATCTAGTATATATGCGTGTGTAGAAATACAAGACCAGGCCTTAAATTAATCGACGGCCATCGACGGCCAGGCCGTCGATGCCCCTATGACTGGCCGCGGTGCCCTTCCAAAAAAAGATAAATTCACGGCCAAAAAGGCCGTGCCCTTTTTTTCAAACTGGCCGACGTGCCTTTTTTCCAACTGGACGTGCCCTTTTTTTTTTTAATTTGCGCACATAAAACCACCAATTGCGCTTAAAACTAGACGGCAAGGCGCAAGTGTTTTCCGTGAAAATGCGCCCATAAATTATTAGAACAGAAAAAATACACGAATCACGAACAGTTTGCCGCCCACGAGCTCTCTTCTAGCTTCGTATTTAGCGCAAGTGCCGTGAAAATGCGCCCTTTGTTATTATATAGGCAATGCGCTAGCGCACGTACGTTCATGTGATCGCATGATATGCATATGGTGCATGTTGTTAACGCACGCACGTACGTACAAATCAAAGGCCAGGATCAAGAAAACAAATCGTCAAATGGAGAAATAAACAAGCATTCAAATAGTCATTAGAGATCTGTCGAGGTTTGTTTGTAGGTCTAGTTTATTATTTTATCTCAAATAGAATTTAGAATTATCTTATTAATAAGTTAAGAACACCTACGATGTTCTCGATCGTAATTACTCTCATTTTGCCACCAGCCGACCTCGCTTCAAAAAGCTACCCCGCCAGCCTCCCAAGACGAACGTTTCGAGTCCCGGTAAAATTACGCGCTGCGAGTCTCCGAGGGTGCATCGGTTTCGCTGGCAAACTTCCAGCCCGACAGCTTCCCACCAAAAGTGGCGAGAGTGTGTGTGCGAGGAACGATTTTGGTTTCGTGAATGCACGTTACGCAACTGAGCTGAGCGTGTCACTTTCAGCTGTCGAATGTCTATAAGGACATTTTTACATCTTATTTCATTAGTTAGGCCTATCTAGACCTTTCTATACAACAGTTAAAAAGACAATTTCTTCAAATTTGCTCCTACTACCGAGAGAGTGGCGGAAGGTTTGTGTGTGAGGTGCGATTTTGATTTGGGATACCGGCCCGGCCCGGTAAACTTGCCAAGTCCTTCTGACTTTCGATGTTTGTGAAATTGACAATTTATTTATTCATTTGCTCATCAATATTTTTAGTTACTTTAGAATACTGTTTAATGTGCAAGTTTAATGTTCTTAATCAATCTTTCCTGTTCATATTGTTAAGATTAAAAAGTTATTAAATTGATCGTTCGATCTATTCACATTATGAAATTAACAACTCTCTTTGAACTTATGATTAGATAAGGGGCCTATCTGTTTTTGGAAAATTGCCCCTTGCTCTGGTAAATTCCTGTGGCAAAGGGCGACTTAAAAAAAAAATTGCCCCTTGCTCCTGGCTGCTAAATCTAAGGCTTGCGGGCCGCCGCCTTGTTTGTATGTACCGTAGACCTCTATACATTCTGTGAAGAAGCTGGTGCTAAAAGTCGTGGGAAATTGATCCCACACAAGTTTCATAAAATACACATGACATCTAACAAAAGTAGAATCAATTTTTTTGGCCTCATACTCGATGCCCTTTTTGTAAAATATTTTGGCCTCGATGCCCTTTTTGTAAAAATATTTTGGCCTTGGTGCCCTTAAAAATATGAGGTACTCGAGGCCAAACTGGCCTTGCCCTAAAAATGACGAAATTTAAGGCCTGCAAGACATAATTTAAAGTAAAATAGTTTATCCTGAAAGTTGTAAAATGAATGTATGTGAAAGTCTTGTTGTGTTTTGATTGTAGGTATCGCTGGGTTTGCTCGAGTCACAAGAGGAGATGTCTTTGAGGTGAGTTTATTATCATCTTTGGTAGCTTGACAAAGAAAAAATATCAGTTAGTGCTGTAGCCAAACCGCCGAACGGAACAGAGTTTCCCCGAACACGGCACTCCCAAACCGAAAGGATCATAATTGTTAAGTTTGGCAATTTAGTAAAATGATTAGACGTGTTATGTGATGTACAGTTTGATCATTGGATACTAAAAAGAACTTGTAGACAAAGTGTAACATCAATATTGATTGTTGTTAGATCAAGAAGTAATTTGTTATGAACCAGCAACACCTTTGTTTCATTTTTGTTTCAAATTTCTTCAGGACATCCAGACATAGTTACAATTGTTGTTTGATAAAGAAAGGTTTTGTCATGTAAATTGACTCTTCCACGTTTCATTTTCAATTTCCAATTATTCAGGACGTTAATTTCAGAAAGCTATCACCACATATGGTGACACCCCTCTTCATTTGCATTCTAAAATTTTGCAAGACGAACCGATGTAGTTAGAAAAAGAATAGTTTCATCATGAAAATCGGCTCATCTTTGATTCATCTGCATTTCGAAATTCATCAAGACAGCCCGATGAAGATATATGCTTGTATTTGGATAAGGAAACATTTTCTTATGAAAATTAGCTCACCTCTTATTTATTTGCGTTTCTAAATGTAGACCTAGTAAAAATTATCGTTAGTAAAACAAGGGTTATAATTTTGTCATGTTCATTCATTAAAATCTTAATTTCATTGAAATGATAATCTAATCATCTTTTTTTAATATGATGTGCTTATTCCCTTAGATAACTTTCAAGTATGGCTTTCAGAAGTTCAAGACGAAGTGTAAGGTTGAGAAGGATCTAAGTCAGACGTGGGAAGGTGATGAGATTGTTCTTTATCCCATGGTGGGAGACTTCCTCACAATCAAGGTAATTAGCACTCTTCAATTACATTCTCATCTCATTCAAGGGATAAACAGTAATTGAAATTATTTAGCCGCTAGAGGGCGTTATAGAGGGCGACATATAAAGTTATAAGCAGAGCCATCTATACTCAGAGTTTGGCCGAACCGGTTCGAGTTGGACACAATATGGCGACTACTGCTTTGTTAGGCAAGCACAAAACAAAAAAATATACGTAAATATATAAGTAAAACCAAGTTGGCCAAACTCTGTGTATAGATGGCTCTGGTTATCAGATGCTTTCTTTTGATTGGTTGTCATGCGCTATGGATTCACTGGTAATATCATGTGGTTTTGTTGTGCGCCACCATTTTTTCCCCATTTGATATCTCTAGCTGTTCACAGTTATCAATATTTTGATAGATTTCTCCTCTTTTTCTCCTCCGACCACCACATCGCTGCAACAAAACTTCAAGAAAACACCTTTGTACGATTCAAATCAACCGTTACGTCACCTTTAGTTTTAGACCCATTCAATTTTAGTAAGGCAAATCAACTTATTATTAGGGAATACCATACAGAAGCATTACACTGGAAGTCGACGTCACTACCGAATATATTACAGCTATTGTCGATCATTGGAATTAAGTCTTTAAAAAGATTTTGGTTGTGTGTCTGTAAAGTAACACTAGAAGGAGATTTTGGTAGAGTAAGTTTGTATAGTAGCTGCACTATATCATTTAATCTTTTCATCGTTATCTTATCATAATTAGATATATTTAGCAATTCAAAGATTTTACATTTTACAGTGGAATGATTACTGAATAATGCAAAGGAAGTTAATGAAATAAAATATGGACCATAAACATCCTGAAGTAATGAGTAGGAGGAAACTCCTGTGTAGTGATCCACCTGCACACCTAGAATAAGGTATACCGGGAGGAGAGACCTGAGGGTTATAGTGATTTAGCTCACTTTTTGCCTCCCAGGCACAGGTGTTGCCAAATATTAATAATAATAATAAATCAAGTCATAACAAAAGGTCCACGAAGTGTGTATCAAAGAAAGCATGATATCATTGTGTTGTACGACCTTTAACCCACAGGTCACAGAGATCAGAGGTATTGCTAGATCCAACGTTACCATCGGCAACCTGGAGTTTGATACGTCAGATTTCTACGGAGCTGAACCGCAGAACTTGACGATTGATGTGAATGAGACCGGTACAATCAAACTGAACATCATTGTAACATGGAGTCCATTCCACGTAGATGAAGATGACCTCAAACAGCTCAATAAGAACTCATATCATCGGAGAGAAAGAACCCTCACTGATTCCATGATCAATGTACATGTAAGGATCATTATTCATTGTCTATGACAACCCCATTACTCTAGCAAAATATCAAAGGGGAAATCAACCCTGATAATTAGCTGGTATTGATTTAGCAAAAAAAACAGAGAAACACATAAGTGAAAGTTTGAGCAATATCTGATTGAAAGTAGGAAAGTTATTACATTTCATAGTTGTCATCGGTGAAACACAAATTGGCAACACTGTATACAAGTATATTGCAAGGTCCTCTCCAATTTTCTCTGCACTGGAATTTCATGAACTTTCATTTTTTTTTTACTATGGGTCTTTTGTTGAAGTGTTTGTATTGATTACAAATTGATGGTTATTGCGACAATGATGTAGACGATATTAATGGATTGAAATGAGGATGCATGGATCAATTTCGTCTTGTTTATTTTTTTCTTTAGCAAAAGAGATTAAGTACAGCATCTACATCCTCCTCATCTGACACCCCTCACTCACCGATGCGTCCTAAACCCAAGCCTGCAGAGTTCTCGTCGTCACCTACCCTAACACTAGAGGAAGCGTTACACAACGTGGTGCGCTTACTAGAGATCTTAACGGGGCAGTATAGTGAACTGAGACCGTTAGAACAACAGATCACACATCTAGACTCATTCCTCAGGGTAAGCACATCCACAGAATAAATGTAGGGCTGTCATAGTCGAGTGGTTTGAACACTTGCCCGAGGATGTGAAGGTCATGGGTTCAATCCCGTTGCTGGATAAGTCTCCTTTGGCAAAACATTTGTCTACATTTGCCACTCTCCACCCAAGTGTGAAATGGGTACCCGATAGGATGAGAATGTTAATATGGTTAGATTGGCAAGTGTGCGCTTGGGAAATGATGCCTGGCCGGAATACTCTCCAGGAAGCGGAGCATTTGTACTATCAAGTGCAGATTAGCAATTGAATCCAATGACTTGGGTAATAATAATTCAAATGCAAAGCACTTAAAAACATAATATTAAGTGCTATACAAAAGTGAATTTTATCATAATTTTAAAATATTTGATCTTGCTGTCTGTTACCCCTCGAGGAGCATTGTTATATCATCGTCACTCAATTTTGGGGAGGGCAATATAATCCCCCCCCCCCCCCTAAGTAGGATAGATAAAGCAACTGAATATGACGTTACCTTTTGAAAATTATATGAACATTTCTTGAACTGTTTATGGAATTGTTTCCATTGTTTTTTCATCAATTGCGCATTGTGTACAGTACATGCATGCTTGATGTAAACAACCTATTCAGTGGGTTCGAGAGTATGCAAATCTAAACTTTTAAATACACAACATATCAATTTTGTAAATAAATTTTTATGAAACTTAAAGCTGTAGCTCCTAGGAAGAAAAACATAATTTTCCTTCAGATATCTCAAATTTCAAAGGTCAGAGTAGGGTTATTAGAGGTATTGAGGCATATTGAGTTGATAATACCAACCTTTTATGAACAATAAAAATATATTTTTCATCCTAAAACACAAACTCTGGGCACATGTTAGAAAATGCATGCTCTTTAACTTGTGATTGTATTATACTATTTTCCCTTTGTTTCACCTGTTATCTTTTGTCTGCTACTGTTTATTCACCAAGAGACATAACACCTGTATGTTCGTATGGTTTGTTTGTAGAAGAATCTTGATAAGAAGCGTCGTGAGTCAACCATCAGTCTTTCAGTCAAGAATGCTTTGGATAGTTTTGACTTTCTGAACGAGATAGACGAAGGTCTAAGTGAAACAACTGATTCCGCTAGTATGGAAGAGTGAGTATAGATGTATATAATGTCATTTTAGGCCATTGCCCTTCTGCCCGGGTTTGCATTTTATTGCAGGTACTTGAAAACTGAATTTCACACCGATATATTGCCATTCAGAACTGTTAAGGCTATTGTTTCTATAGTATTACTTCATGTCATTTATTTCCTGTATTTTTATTCAAAATCTATACATTTGACCTGAAATTGAAGGAAATCATTTAGAATGACAGCGACGTGTCTTTTCATCACTCTTAATTTTTGAGGCTTTAGAAGAGAAAGCAAGCTTTGCATTAGTCGAGTGTGTAACTAGACACAAGTCCTAAATACAAGTCTCTATTAAAAGGTACAGTACAATTATGTGATGCTACCTCTCACCAGACAAAATGGCTGTTAGTAGATCTAATATGTAAGAGATAGTAACTGATGTTCATAAATCCACAAAATGATGCCTTTGGGAAAAATTTAAAAAATCATGTGGAGCATCCCCGCCCCTTTTTTTTTTTTAGGCCGCTTGTTGTTGTTTTTTTCTTCTTCAGAGTTTAAAAAAAAAAAAATAATAATCATTTTGGCCTCATTTTCTATTGCATCTTTCCCAAACGAACCCCATATGTCAATTCCTGAGTCCAAGTGGTGGCCATTTTGAACAAGAAAAAAAAGAAGAAAAGAAGGGCCTCCCCCTTCCTTTATTTCCCAAAATGGCAGGATGCTAAACATGTTTTGTTTTTTATTTGGCCTTATGTAGCTAAGCAAAATGAAATGGCTAGAAAAGACGCGTACAGAATGTATTTCTAACACCTCTATGTTGATTGCATTTCTCCTACTTCCAGGACGAATCATAAGAATGCTTATGACAGTGTGGATAGTGTAGGGGTATCTTCAGATCGTCTGAGTGATTCTACATGTATAGAAGAGGACCTCTCTCCTCAGGTGGAGCTACGTAGCATCAGATCATCACCATCCAACAACACATCCGTCAAGAGAAGTAGTCGGTTTCTGGATCTTAGCGAGAAGCGGGAGAGTCGTATGCTGGAGCTGAATGAACAGCGAGGGAACCGTCTTCTTGAGTCTCCTGCCGATAGTTCGTTTGGGAGTATGAAACGTCTTCCTGGGTCGGAAGAGAATCTGACTACCGGAAGTGAATCCATTGATGTGACGCTAACTCATCATCTCATGTTTACAGAATACCTGCTCAGTGTAAGTAGCTCACATAAATACTGGGCATGCGTCAAAACGGTTCCCCGACCGATCTCCTCTCTGCTGCCATCTGCGGTCTACTGCAGGACAATTTTTATATAAAAATAATGCTCATCGGAACTTGATTTGTAACCCCTCAAATATCGTTAATTCTGAAAGATATTATGAATATCTACCATATCTACTCAGAAGATATAATGCAGACTGTGCCTGAAAGTTAAAAGGACTTTCGTTATCCATATAATAATAATAAATTTCTTTTCTCTTTGCAGCATCTTGGTGCGTTTGGACCCCTCAAACTGAAGGAGACAATAGCTCTGAACAAGCTCCAGCAGCAAGCAGTCATCATTGAGCAGTTGATTGTGCTAGCCGTTAGTGGTATCCATGTCAGCTCAGCCGATGAAGGTAGTACACATCGGTTACTAGGGCCGGGTGAGCAAGGAACTAAACATGGTCATTCACATATCAACTCATCGATTGCATTTTTTGTTCCCATACTTAAAAACTCAAAACGATCCATTGCAATTATTTACTGGTATTAATTCTGATCTACTATGCTTATTCACCTTGATCACAATGCCCTCCAAATGCTCTCCAAATTGAAATAAGACCTATCATATGTAGGTCTTGTACGTTTTGTCATATTATATTCATCCCCATGTATAACATGACAAGAAAGGCTTTTGATCTCAGACATTTTTTAATTAATATGTGTTACTTTATTTTACTGCTGTCGCATTCTATATGCATGTATATTTCTATGAACTGTGCTTCACCTGCTATCATTGAACCACACTGCTATCCCTCTCTCTTTCTCTCTCTCCTTCGCCTATCTATATCTCCCTCACCCCTCTCTCCCCCTCTCTCTCTCTCTCTCTCTCTCTCTCTCTCTCTTTCTCTATCTCTCTCTCTCTCTCTCTCTTTCTTTCTCTCTCTACTTCTCTCTCTCTTTCTTTCTCTCTCTACTTCTCTCTCTCTCTCTCTTTCTCTCTCTTTGTTGCTATGTAAGTGTGTCTGCTCTCTCTCTCTCTCTCTCTATCTTCAGGTGATTAATATCTTAATTCTCTGTCAAACATATCTTTACCAATCTGTCTGTTACAAACTCTGTATATGTCTGTTCATTTACAGTGCGTTCCCTAAAAGACAGAAACACCAAAACACTTTTATTGTGAACAAACTATGATCAGTATGAATCTAATTTTTATATGCTTTCAAATGAGACATTGATCACCGAGCAACATTTTTTTGAAAATGGCATGTCAAAATCCATTTGTGCCAGATTTTGGTATAAGTGGAAAACTAGTTATCTAATAGTTTGTTCACAATAATCGTTTGTTTTCAAACAAAATTATGGGAAGCATTGTATGTCTGTCTGTCTGTCTGTTTGTCTGTTTTCTGTATGTGTGATCCTGCTTTCTTTTCATGTTCTATACCTCAGCTTTAGAGATACCATACTGAACTAACTTGAGAGAAATGATGAAGTGAATGACCTTGTGAATGACCTTGTAAAGCTTGATCTCACCCAGCTCATTGACCTACACTTAGCTCTTAAGTTAAACTTTTAAAACACCATATACATTTCGCTTGTTTATCTCACTGTAATAACACCTTATAACTTCAAATCTATATATTTATCTGTTAAATCATAAGTTAAACAAGAAATTACTTGATAATGTGATGCAGGAAAAAGACACTAAACACAGGCTGAGTCTATATTTTGATCTTTTTCATTTTCCAACATCATAATATATGCGAATGAAAACCCTGGCCAGACAGTCTCTTGGACGAGCTGAAACAATACAAAACACTATCTGTTGAGCTGTTAATCACTCTTAATATTCATGAATCAAAAGATGACATGTAGTCTGCAAGAACATGTAAGAGTGATGGCTATGCAGAGCATACAATACTAGCAAAATAGGCTGGACAGTCCCATTTCACTGGGGGTGTGGTTTTGGGATTTACCATGAGGTAACAAAGCTACTGCCCTGTTAGGAAGCATCAAGATGTATTTTGTTCTGATACTAATGAGATGAACTTGAATACTGGGTAACCTTTCTTGGAGAGTCTTCCAGGTATTCTAAAGGGGCAAAGTCAAATATTAAAAAATGAAACTTCATCTTAAAGGATTCATTTAGATTTTGTTGATTCATGTTTTTGCATTGTTTAAAAAGCAGATTTTAGAAGTTTTAATGTTCTAATCATTGCTACTTTAGTTCTTCCGGAATTGAAGCTGAATCTGCCGCTCTTGGAATTCTGGGAGCAGTGCAGAGAGAAGGAGGCCCTCTATGTCAATGCTGATTCATTCCTTCTTCAGCTTGATGTGAAGTTTGGAGCCAAACTACGCACAAATCATCCAGAGATAGCTGATGATGGTAAGCCCGCTCGTTATGTAGCATGAAAAATTAGCTGATCACAGTTATCTAATGTCTGTGCCACCTTGTTAATGAAAGTGGTGTAGCCGAAATGAACATGGCATTCACGAATCGATTGGATATAATTGTCTAATTAGGCACTTTGGCAATGAAAAGACCTGTGCGCTTTGTAGAGTTTTGTTACTTGGTTCTAAAAATGTGTATAAGACTAGCGTTTGTCATACAAATTGGCAAAACCTGTTTCATTTTTATTTAAAAATTCTTCAGGGACAGCTAGACAGATTTATGATTTTCTTTAGATGAAGAATGTTTTGTCATGTAAAATGACTGAATCCTGTTTCATTTCCAGTTTCAAATTATTGTGACGCCCTTCCGTTTCATTTGCGTTTTAAAGTTTTACATAACAGCCTGATGTGGTTATAATGATCTTTTGATAAAGGAAGGGTTTTTAAAAATTCTGTTTCTAAAGTCCTCAAGACTGCCTGCTGTAATCATTGTTTAGATATCATGAGATACTCACCAATTAAAAACTTCTCATTCCCCTGTCTTGATTATGGTTGTCTTGGAAACACCAACGCTTCATTGATGGTTGAACAGATCCTGCTATTGAGCATTGTGCGTAGATTGCTTATCAAACATTGTGCTATCTATAATGATGATATGTTTTTGTTTCAGTCTTCCATAGTGTGTGCAATCGGATCATAGAGCGTCCCGCAGACCTGATGAGTCCTAAGACTATTATAACACTATTCCAATATGTCTCCTACTTCACGCAAGAAAACAGACGACATCCAGAGAAATGTCTGAATGACATCACTAATGAATGTAAGTACACCCTGTATGTTACATTGTACCATTCTGATTGAAAAAATATTTGTGTACAGCTAGAATGTTTAAAAATCAACTTTAAAAAACTGTACCTGGCTTTCTATTAGCTAGCAGAGTAGGAGTGTGAAGAGAATAAAGAATGACATATAATCGTGCACACGGAACCAAAGTCGGACTTGTGAGGGGGCACCATTCTATACAAGTGCTTCCAGACTAATACTATTTATGTCAGAGATATACAGTCACACCTGCTTTAGTGACCACCTGTCTACAAAGACCACTGTCATGATGTTCGATTAGACATGATATTGATATCGATGTAAACAATGTGATCGAGAGATAATGTAATGCATTGCATGTTGCAAGGTCAAGAGGTCAAATACGGCATGTTACATGTTCGTCAAGCCGGAGCGGAAAGGATACATTAAAGACTATGAGACTCGTAATACTTGTGTTGAATTCCATTTATTCTATATCCTGGTTAGGATATGACATTGGCGACGAGGATGGAAGTCATATAGGACAATTGTAGATCTGTTTGAGAAGGAAAATGGCGTTTGGAGGTGCAGATATCAAGGGACTTGGTCAGTTTGATCCGACCGGAGACGCCAGTGTTGTGAGTGAAAGATGGCAGCGCTGGTATGAGGAGTTTGATGCGTACGCAGATAGCCTCGGTGTGTTTGTCGACGGGGCAGAGCCGGCGCAGTTGACTCGACGTAGAGCCTTGATGATGTACTCGGCTGGAGCGGCTGTGCGGGAAGTTTTCAAGACCCTTGAGGATACTGGCACCAAGGCAGATTATGACAAGGCTGTGAACGCTTTGGAGAAGCATTTTGTTGTGCAGTCAAATTCTACCTTTCAGCGTCATGTTTTCAGACAGATTACTCAGCAGGCGGATGAGACTGTGTCGCAGATGGTGACACGGCTTAAGAAGGCAGCAGAAGGCTGTGCTTTCAGAGATGATTTGGAGAACCAGATTCGTGATCAGGTCGTTCAAGGGTTGCGGTCATCTAGACTGCGAAGGAAACTTTTGGAAAAGGGTACTGCACTCACCCTAACTGCAACCTTGGCGATAGCAGCGTCACTTGAGGCCGTGGAGGCCATGGATTCTCAATTCAGAAAACTGTCATCGGTGGAAGAGTTTCCTAGCTCTAGTTCCCAGGTCCGTCAGGTCAGTAATGAAACCCGTGAATGCTTTAATTGTGGGAGAACTGGGCACAGTTATAAGGACTCGACATGTCCAGCCAAGGGACGGATATGCCACACATGTGGGAAAAAGGGACACTTCGCCACAAAGTGCAGAGATGGTTCAGGGAAGAAGGAGCAGACAAGTGGACCAAGCTTTAAACCTAGAGGAAAATGGGGACAGAAAAGGCAAGGTCACAAAGTGCGACAAGTGGATGAATGCACATGTCACTGTCAGAATAAGCAAGGTGATGAACAGAACCATAGTGATGATAGTGAGAGAGGATATGCATTCGCTATTGATACTGACAAGTGTGAAAAGGTGCCTGTTGTGATTGGAGGAGTACCAGTTGATATCATAGTAGATTCTGGAAGCACTGCGAATATCATTGACAGAGCATTATGGGAGTTCCTGAAGACAGAGAAAATTACATGCTCATCCCGAAGGTGTAACAAAAAGCTCTATCCGTATACTTCTGTAGAGCCACTTCAGACCATTGGATGTTTTAAAGCTGTGGTCAAGGCAGGTGAGAGAAGTGTAGAAGCTGAATTTGTTGTCATTGCAGAGAAAGGCGAACCACTGATGAGTAGAAAAACGGCATTAGCCCTTGGTGTGCTACGGATCGGGATTGATGTGAACTCTGTGAAATCATATGTAGATATGAGAGAAGAATTCAAGCCAGTATTCCAAGGCGTTGGAATACTGCGTGATCGACAAATCAAGCTGAAAGTTGATCCCGAGATTAGACCTGTAGCCCAGCCAGTTCGAAGAACACCATTCGGTTTGAGAGACAGAGTGAAGGAGAAGATCCAGGAACTAGTCGAGCAAGACATTATAGAGCCTGTGGAAGAACCTACACCGTGGGTTAGTCCTGTAGTCATAGTACCCAAGCCTAATGGAGATATCCGGATATGCATTGACATGAGGCGGGTCAATGAAGCCATTGTGAGGGAGAGACATCCGATACCGACAGTGGATGAAATACTCCAAGAGTTGTCAACAAGCAAGGTGTTCTCAAAAATTGATCTAAAATGGGGATATCATCAGTTGGAGTTAGATCCTGAATCCCGAAAGTTGACCACGTTTGTAACACATTGCGGACTATACCGTTACAAGAGATTGTTATTCGGTGTGAATGCAGCACCTGAGATCTATCAGCACGAGATCCACAAAGTGCTTCAAGGACTACCTGGTGTTGCAAACATTTCTGATGACATCATCATTCATGGTGCCACGCAGGAAGAGCATGATGAGAGGCTTCGACAGACCTTGACACGATTGAAAGATGCAGGATTAACGGCCAATGCAGAAAAGTGCCTGTTTGGTGTGTCCGAGTTAGTATTCATGGGACACAAGTTGACAAAGGACGGCATCAACCCCACCAAGGCCAAGATTGAGGCTGTAGCAAACGCATGTGAGCCAAAGAATGCAAGTGAAGTACGAAGTTTCCTGGGCCTAGTGAACTTTTGTGCAAGGTTCATCCCAAACTTGGCAACGGTGGCGGAACCTCTTCGGAGGCTGACTAAGAAGGATCAGAAATTTGAGTTTGGCATGGAACAGAAGCAGGCTTTTCAAACACTGAAGGACAGTTTGAGTAGTGCCCATACTTTGGGTTACTTTGATCTAAAGGCCCCCACGCAAGTTATTGCAGATGCCAGTCCTGTGGGACTTGGAGCTGTGTTAGTGCAGAAGCAAGATGGTGAATACAGAATTATAGCCTATGCAAGCCGTTCTTTGACAGCAGTTGAGCAAAGGTATTCACAAACAGAGAGGGAGGCGTTGGGACTCGTATGGGCGTGTGAACACTTTCACGCGTATTTGTACTGGAACGAGTTTGAATTATTGACGGATCATAAGCCACTAGAAGCAATCTACTCACCCAGATCCAAACCATGTGCACGTATTGAACGATGGATGCTTCGACTTCAGCAGTACAGATACAGAGTAGTGTACATAGCTGGGAAGACGAACATCGCGGATTCGCTATCTAGGATGCTGGATGTGGATAAACTGAGAAGCTCTACATTGGAGGATGAAGCAGAGTCATTTGTTAGATTTGTTGCCACACACTCTACCCCGAGGGCAATGAGGACAAGAGAGATTGAGGAAGAATCTGACAAAGATCCAGAGTTGTTAGATTTGAGGGAAAGAATCCAGAAGGGCGATTGGAATACATGTCCATACAAGGTGTATTCAGCCATCAGGGACGAGCTGTGCATCATTGGGAGATGCGTACTGAGAGGGAGTCGACTTGTAATACCAACTCAGTTGAGACCAAGGATGATAGCGTTGGCTCATGAAGGTCATTTGGGAATTGTTGGCACGAAGCAAAATCTCCGATCGAAAGTGTGGTGGCCCGGCATGGAGAAGGAAGTTGAACGCTATGTAAAATCTTGTCATGGGTGCCAGATTGTAAGCAGACCCAGTCCACCTGAGCCAATACGAAGTACGCTCTTACCAGCTGGTCCATGGGAGGATGTCGCAGTAGATTTTTTGGGACCACTACCATCTGGTGAATCAATTCTAGTGATCATTGACTATTACAGTAGATATTACGAATATATTGTGATGCGATCTACAACAGCAGAGAAGACGGTGGCAGCTCTAGCAGGGATCTTTGCAAGACATGGTTTGCCACTAACGCTGTATTCTGACAATGGGCCTCAATTTATCTCGCAAGTCTTTGCAGACTATATGAGGCTGACAGGTGTACACCACCATAGGGTTACACCTAAGTGGCCTCAGGCAAATGGTGAGGTTGAGCGACAGAACCAATCCCTCGAGAAGAGAATGAGAATTGCTCATTCAGAAGGCAAAGACTGGAAGGAGGCGCTGTTGTCATATGTTGCAGCATACAGAGCTACACCACATAGCACAACAGGTAAAAGCCCAGCTGAGCTACTCTTCGGACGGAAGATCAGGACAAAGTTACCTGTTATCAGTGAATCTCTAAATGACCAAGAGATCAGAGACCAGGACGCTGAGAGCAAAGGTGCATCAAAACTGTATGCAGACTCTAAGAGGGGTGCCAAACCATCTGATGTGGTGCCAGGAGATGAAGTTCTGGTGAGGAGGGAAGTGTCTAGCAAAATGGACACACCATTTCTACCACAACCATACACAGTTGTATCCAGAGAGGGCAACAAGCTGACCATTTGCTCACCAGAAGGTGTGATGTATGCTAGGAACACATCACATGTGAAGAAGTATCATCGACAGGGTATTCCGTCTGACATAGGAATACTGCAGCCGGAAGCTGAGACTACAGAGGCCCAGGTTCCACTCTACCATGGTGTTGGTGCTGAATTGATAACACCGCAGTCTGATGTCGAGACTACTAGTGATCAGAGCCAACATGAGGGGACTGAGCGTCAGATGGGAGTTCCGAAGACCGTACCATCACCGACCCGGACATCAATTTGGAGCAGACCAAAACGCCATCGTTTGAGGCCCAAGCGATTTTCTGATTATTTGTTGGAATGACGATTCCGTGGAAACAGCCATCTAGTATTGTGACGCGACGTGTTCAACCAGTAAAAGTGACACAACAAAGTTTTTCAGTCATTTTAATGTTTGAGTGTTAAAATGTTTCACAAAGAGTTCAAGTGCTATTTTAGCAAGTACATAGGGTGTATGCCTGTACGCTGCCCTATATTTAATGGAATGTTCACTACATTAGGGTGTATGCCTGTACGCTGCCCTATAGTCAATGAAAAGTTCAGTAACCGGGTGTATGCTTGTACGCTGCCCTATTTGAAGAAGAAAAAAAAGTTTTGGGTGAATGCTTGTACGCTGCCCTATTTGAAGAAAAAAAAAGTAGTTTTGGGTGAATGCTTGTACGCTGCCCTGAGTTAAAGTGATTAATTAGTGAAATTTAAACCAAAAAAAATGAGAGAAGAAAAGGGTGCAAGCTAGTGCCAAGAGAAACGTGGGGATTCATCTCAAAGCAAACTCTCAAGTTGTTAGCTGACTTTGAAGCTCAAGTGAAAGACTAGCAGCTGAAGAAAGAACATTATAAGATTAATTATAATGAGAACTCTAAAATGTCTCATGACAGATCTGATCAACATCCAACCCAGAGATGAATATTGAGAACTCTAATGCATGCGTCTTATGAAAGACTCATATTATAAACAAACAGAGACTTTATAGTTAAAGCAGTTTGATATGTCAGTCAAGTAGTTAAATGAAGTGAGTTGATCATACACTGCATATATTGTAATGTCAAGTTGTTTGAAGATTCATTTCACGATGTGTATGATGAGAAATGTATAAGTTCTGAATTGGGAGTTCATTGTTTTAAAAACAAAAAACAATGTGTGTTTGGTTGAAGTTCAAGTTCAATAGTTCGAAGTCAAGTAATACACGAGTCGTTATTAGTATGAAAACAAACAAACGATATTTGGATATCGATTTGGTCAATGGAAAAGTCACATACATGTATTATATTGATACAAACAGTTCAAAACTTATTGCATATGCTAAAACAAGTTTTGAAATCAGGGTTCATGTTTATTCATTGAAGTAAAATGGAAAAGATGTCTTTTAATCTGATAAGGGAGGGATGTCATGATGTTCGATTAGACATGATATTGATATCGATGTAAACAATGTGATCGAGAGATAATGTAATGCATTGCATGTTGCAAGGTCAAGAGGTCAAATACGGCATGTTACATGTTCGTCAAGCCGGAGCGGAAAGGATACATTAAAGACTATGAGACTCGTAATACTTGTGTTGAATTCCATTTATTCTATATCCTGGTTAGGATATGACAACCACATTTTGTGTTTCCCTTGAAAATGGTTTCCCATTGAAACATGTACTAAAGGAACCTGTCTGCAAAGACCACTTTTTTATTTCCCTTGGGAGGTTGCTATAGACAGGTTAGACTGTAGTATAATATAAACTTCTTTTTTTTCCCCATTTGAGCATCATGTAATACTACTCTTTACATGTTGTTACTTAATGTGCATATTAGGATGTGACTTTCCTATACAAATGACCTCCATTTTAATGTCCTATCTGGATGTTAGCCAACACTCATCCTAACTCTATGATTGATCTTACAGTTGAGTTAACAGCAAGCTTAGAGCCTGGTAGACCTGAGCTTCTTAGGACCCTCAAGAGGATACCTAAAGGCTTTCTATTACCGGCTGGTAACCTCAGAGCGCTTGGTTTGTTACTACTCGAGGACAGCGCTACCGTGCAGGCAGCAGTACGCATGTATCTAGAGTCCATCGCTAAGGAGGATGACATCAGACAAAAGGTATTTATTTCATTTATTATCTCAAATACCTGGATTCACAAAAGTGGTCTGACCTAAAAAAAAAAACATGGTTTTAAAAAACAATTGACTATGGGTATCCGAATGGGGAAATTAAAAAATAACATAAAGTCAACGATGGGCAAACCATTGAATACAACTTTTATATTTGCCTTTATTGTTAACAACAAGGAACATTATATGTATATATATTTTAAAGCCTTTTTATGCCTAGGCCACCAGGGCTCTTCAAGCTGAATTTGATGTTTAGTCAGTTTTGTGTGTATATGCAGGGTAATTTGTTTTGGTTATCATGAACTAACACTATCAAGTTGACTCTGTATTGTTTGACAGGCTGTGACAGTGTACCTAGAATGCCTAGAGGAAAGAGATCTATCGCTACGTCAGGCAGGGTGTGCAGCTCTAGCCGCTATGCAGGTGAGCTCTTTTCCCATCTCTCTAACTTCCCCCCCCCCCCTGCATTCCCCTCCCACTCTGTCTTTCCCCTCTCACTTTCCCTCTCACTTTCCCTATATCTCTCTCTCTCTCCTCTTCCCAGGATCCCCATCTCTCTCCTCCTTCCTGTCCGCCTTTTTCTCCCTCTCCTCCTTTCTTCCCAACTCTATCTCACCCTCTGCCCCCTTATTTCCCCTCTCTCCCCTCTCTGCCCCTCCCCTCTCTTATCCCCTTTCTTCCTTTCTGTGTAATCTTTTTGATAAATTTATTTTATTTTTGTAGAATATAATATTATGCAGCTCAAGAACTGACATTGGTATTTTACTAAGTAAAACCTTATTAAAAGAGAGAAATGTTTTTATCTCTCTATTTCTGTCATCATAAAAGAGACATACTGGCCGTTAGGTGATTTAACATACAATGTTGGTATTTGTGTCATTTATTTTGGCTAAAATCCTGACCTATCACCGAACATGAAATTACAACTAATTCATTTGTTGCTATAGGGTTGTGCTAAAAAAAAATTGTTTTTATAAATAAGTTCTGGTTTGCTGTGATACTTTCTATCAAATGTTGTGTGCTAATTGAAGTTCAACGGTCAAACATGACAAAGTTTTACATTCGTGACTACAATACAGTGTATACCCCTAGAGATGAAGAAATATTGATATCATCTTTGGTATTGGTGTTGGTTGGTGATAATCTTGTTAACTTTTAAACAATTTTTAATATTTTCTTGGCAGGCATCGGAGTCATTTGAACAGCTGGTGTATTTAGTACGATGTGATATAGATGATGTGAAGACAACAGCCAAAGAAGCTCTAATGGCATTTGGTGAGTCATTTCTTGAATTATTCAATTGACTTATAGCTTGGTTAGACCAATTTAAACTTGTATTAGAAACTTGTATAAGAAACTTGGTATAAAGAATCATTGTACAGCGAAGGGAGTGTACCGACTAGAAAACAACATCATGTTTACGAACTAATTTTGAAGAGATCAGTTGACAGCTGGCACATCATCAGAGTGTACTCACGATGAGCCCCACCCAGTGACTTATCTTGAGGGGTCCCCTCCCATTTGATCTTTATTTTTAAAATTCTGAATTTTCATTTTCCCTAAAGAAAATGTTCAATCATTCATGCATCCCTTTATGAAACAAATCTATTCCGTCATCAATAAATAAGAAAAATGAAGTTTATGAATTTTCTGTACAGAACAAATTGGAGAGGACCTCGCAAGATATGTCACAGTACTGTCAATTTGTGTTTCACTGATGGCAACTTCAAAAATTCATAACTTGCCTACACTATGAACATGACTGACAAAGAAAGCGGACAAAATATACAGTTCCTCAGGTAGACAAAGGAACATCCCTTCGCTGCTATTATGTAAAAATGTGTAGAACAGGTGTCACATGCATATTCACCTTTTTACATAATAGCAGTGAAGGGATGTTCCTTTGTCTACCTGAGGAACTGTATATTTTGTCCGCTTTCTTTGTCCGCCATGTTCATAGTGCTACCGGTACTTTTAATATGATACTGCTCAAACTGCACTAATATGTTTCTCCCGTTTCTCTGCTTTTATTAATACCAGTTAGTTATCAGGGTGGTCTTTCATTCAATTAGTTTAGCCATTACAAAATTCCTGTTCTGAAAAGGGATAAACGAACCACATGGGACTGGTTCAATCAGTTTTGATAGGATCTAAGAGTGTGTAATAAAGGTAAGGGATCATTATCAACTCTCCATACTTATTTATTTTTTGTAGGTGAGGAAGGGAGGCTGGCTTATGAACAAGTTTCTTACTCTCCATACGTAGCCTATGAACAGCAGTATACACCCAATGGTGCTCCACTGATGACAACTGAATTATAGCACCGGTATACACTCAACAGTGCTCTGCTAGAGACTACAGCATTGTAGCACTGGTGTACTCTCAACACTGCTCTGCAAAAGACTACAGCATTACAGCGCCAGTTAACACTCACTCAACAGTGTCATGCTAAAGAGTACACCATTGTAACACGGCTATACACCCAACAGTGCTTTGCTAAAGACTACAGCATTATCACACCAGTAACAGTGCTTCACAAATGACTATGGCGTTAAAGCACTGGTAAACACTCAAACAGTGCACCTCAAATGTCTGTGGCATTATAGCACCAGTATTCACTCAGCAGTGAACCAGAATTAACAGTATTATTTTAGCGCTTAGCTTAAAGTCTTCATGCTGAGTGTTTAACAGATGTCTTTATGTATACAATGACTTCAAAAGGCTTTTATTCCTGATTGTTCAAGGCGACCAGTCAGTGAAAAAGAGTTTTGTTTCATTTGTTTAGGGTTTCATACTGGTATAGAATATCAAATGGAAATATTACTTCTCTGTTGAAACATCACTATACGTATGGGAACTTCAAATTGGATGAAAGGGTTATGTCACTGTGGTGTAGTGCCAGACAACTTTCTCTTTCAGTCCAACATACAAAATGATTCAAATGTCAATTATACAACATATATGGCTTATGAGGGTTGTCTGTCTTTAGATGACTTATAATATTATGCAATCCATACTATGTTTTAAGTAGTGCTACAAGGGAGAAGGCACTTAAAAGAAAAACAGAAATTAATGCTAATTTTGGACAAGACAAACGGGAGAGTTGTCCTTGTCTACATCACAATCCACTTACCAAATTGCCAGTTTGTAGATGCAATATGCACATGGGCGGATATAGGTCATTTATATCAAAATTGTAAAGCCCACAGAGATGAATACTGGGTATGTGATCATGAAAATAAATTACTTATGTACATTTATGCTCTGACGATTCATCTTATGAAACTCACGGTGAAAGTATTCTTCTCAAGAGGGCAAACAAAAGGGGCCTATGAAGCACATCCATCACTTTGGCAGTGATGGTTCTAAAATGCTCAAAGTGGAACTACTCCATGTGTAAAAGATCTGTGGATATTTAGGGTCATTTGTACCACGTGCTAAACAAGAAAGGGTCTAATTCTCTCAATAAATGATGTAGACAGTTTACAGGAGAATAAATGTTTTATTAATAGCCTGTTACGTGATCATGCACTGGTGATGAAAAGAAGAAGTACGCGAGTATGTGTAATACTAAAAGAAATCATGCTTGTTGTAAGAAATGCAATGTGCACAAATCATGTGTTTTGATCAATGTATGTGTACACAATCACAGTTTTTTTTCTACATGTCGTTCAAATGTGGTGCTAACAATCTACTATCCAAATAATCTCATGACATTAAAACTCTGTGACAGTGGATGTGATGTTAAGCAAGGTTGTGAAGTGGCAACAGCCTAGATTTTATATGTGAGACGGGTATGAAGAAAAAAATGTTCCGTAGAGTCATATTACTGTATAGAAATAATGTGGAAGGCATATAAACATACTGCAATCATTGCAATGTGTATGTTTCCAGCTCGTCTTCAACACCTGGGGGGTGTTTCACAAAGCCTTTTTTCAATGACAAATGAAAAAAATCAGTGACAAATCTGCTGATAACCAATCAGAAGCAAGGATTTCAGTTATAACACAAAGTGTCATTTGTCACTGATGACAAGTTTTGTGAAACGCTCCCTGGGGTGGTATTCTGAGATTCTTTTTATCTCAGTGAAATACGGCCTCTGGAATTGCATTTCAAGAGAAACGGGTGTAATAAAATTTTGGATTGTTTATTACTTTAAAACAAGTTTGGGTCAGCAAAATATAAGCAAACAGGGTGATCAGCTTGATTTTCCATATCTTTCTTTGCTATTCAATTACTTGTCTGTTTTTTTCAATTTATAGTTTTACAATTTTACAAGTCATTGAGCAGATAAGATATGATTGTGATATTGAGCAGGCAATGTAAGTGTGGTTTTCAACCTTACACTGTCACAATGTGGTTTGAATCTTATTGGTTGAGAACTCAAGGTGACCTTCAAGTAAACTCAAGGTGACTTTCGAATAACCACCATGTTATGCAGTCTTCTGAATCACCAATTAGGTGAATGCAATGTAATGTAGTGAAGAAAAACAACATGAATTGTAAATATGAATGTTCTTCTTATCAAACTATTATCAAGCTCTCGTAGCTTTAAAGAATCCTTGCCATCGAGTTGTTCCTGTTATCTTTATGGCAATGTACACACAGCATATACATTGTATGTTTATTTATTAAGTTGTTTCCTTGTGTACCTAATAAGATGCTATATAATGATGCATATGATGTATCTTTGGACAAGTTGAATTATTTTTATGAAAGAAATGATTTGTGAATATTGATCAATGATTCAGAAATTAAGAAGATATTTTATGATGATGAAAAGATTGGCACTCTGTGTAATTTGTATATAGGCAATGCAAAATGGATTCCAAACGTCATGCATCACTAGTCAATGAGCAATCCTATGTGGTGTGTATAACATTAAGCAAGTACCATCCTATCATTGGAGTACCGTTGTAGTTAAAATAAATTGCAATTTTCACCTTCTAGTTACAGAACACCCCTTTTTATTAGTAACTGAACTGCCCCAAGCCATCTCTAAATTGTCATATACATTAGCAACAAAAGTAGAGGGTTTATATGGCTTTGAAATGTCTTTCGGAATTCCCCATTCTTGTACAATATTAAATATACTTCTTACTTTAGAAAGTCTCTGAGCAATTAATCAGGTTGAACTTGAAATATTAATGAGTTTCACATAGCTTTACATGTAACAGGAAATATCTTGGATCTGAATGAGATAATGCTGTGAGAAAGATGTTCATCTCTCTCTCTCTCTCTCTCTCTCTCTCTTTCTTCAGAAATTGCAAAATATCAAATCTTTCTATAATCTTAAATGTATCATAATAAACTCAAGCCAAGTGATTTCATTGAATTGTTTCATCTTTGAAACCCTGGACTTTCTATCTGATAAACAATACTTTCTCCTGTATAGGCATACATTGTCTTTTTTCAATGAAATCAAACATTAATTACTTTGTATAGAGCCCAATGGGCCATGATAAATACATTCCCACTTTGTTTTTCTTGCTTGCTCAATGAAGTAATGGCTATTTGATACGTTCTGTTAAATTCCTGATTAGACGTGCTGATTTTTACAAAGACTGAAGAAAGGTATGCGTTGGGGCAGTCGGATAGCCAATGATCATGTTTGTATTTTAGAGTTTTACAGGATCTGTCATTCAATTTTAAATATTGATATTTATCCCAAGTCATTGAAAGGTAGTGTTGGCTGTTTACTCATATCACATTTTACAATAACTGTTGTCAACGACAACGGTATCCAAGAGCAAAACAATCTGTTAAAGAATAAGTCTCCAAATGTAAAAGGGGAAATTTTTAACTGAACACATGTAAACTATTCTTACTGCGGATAGATAATCCAGGAGCTATTCTTGTTTTGAATTCTTTAAGAAACAGGGATTATATTATGAAACATAAATATCCTTAATGCTAAATATATTACTCATTGCGGATGTAGTATCAAAAATAATATCGCTAGTGATATTCGTTTGTCTCGCAATGTGGTCAATAAGGAATCTAAAAGATCATGATGTTTCGTGCACTATCTGCAACACTTCGTCATGTGATAAAAACTAATGTAAGCAAGGGTCTTTTATACTTTACGGGAGGACCAGCGGAGCGGTCTATAATTCGAGTTTTTATCACATGACGAAGTGTTGCAGATAGTGCACGAAACATCATGACCTTTTAGATTCCTTATTGACCACATTGCGAGACAAACGAATATCACTAGCGATATTATTTTTGATAAATATCCTTTATCTGATGAACATGATGGTAGCTTGTGTGCTATTGATATCAATATATTTTGTTTGTAAATGATTGGTTCTTTCGTCTTGGGTAATGGGTAGCCCATTTATTCCATTGTGTAATGTTTCAAGCTAGTCTACTCCCCAAATTCACATGGAAGTAAGCTGTAAATCTAAAGATTATTATTGAAATGTATAAAGCTCATTTACACACAAAGTCACAGATAGCTTTATATCTTGGAGAAGTTCTATAATTGATCTTTCTATAGTGTCCCATCCCAAACTGTGATGTTAGCAAATATTGCATTTGTTTTCCATGCAATGTAAAATAGACTTCCCTATTAGATATCCAATAGCTATCACTTCAGATTAAATGACAGACATGTTCTTACAATTATAAACTTGCCCAGCATAGCACCAAAATAATGTATGCTACCTGCATTTATGCTTTGAATTACAAGATGGTAATAATATTGTAGTAATGAAAATTCAAATTAAGATAGTTACCCTGCTTAATTTGTGAATTGGTCAGACTTTGGTCTATTTGATTTTCCCTTTTAAAAGATTGAAAACAATCTTTTTATCTATATCGTATGTGCTTGTCTCTTAACTGATATCACATGAAATTTGATATCATGATTAAACCAAGTGGAAATTTGTTGACATTGTTGCCATGACAATAAGCTATTGTGTATAAAGTTGTTACATGTCAAGGTAGATATAGATCTTGTACATTTGTAAGAAAAAATATAAATTATATTTCAGAAAAAAAATAAGTGACCATTGTAAATGCAAATTGTTGGACCTTTAACTATCATGGTTGAAGAAGAGCTTTTTTAGCCTTAATGCTATGCACTCTTCTTGTTTTGTTTTTCTTTGAGATAATATAATGCAAATAAATGAAGAAATAAAGACATATGTGACATGACATGTTTTGAGTTGTGTAAACTTTGTTCAAAATCACAGTATATTACTTATATGTATATATTAAAGCCCCTCTAAAGTGTTGGGAACCCCGACAAATTGATGGCAAAATTTCACTTGAATTGTATCAAAATGTGAAAGAGGATGTCATTTAAGACACATTTCTGCAAGGATTTTCAAAACAAATGAAGTTGAATATGGATGAAAGAATACAAAGTTTTAGTTCTGCGTACAACATAATCCCAAATTATGTATTCTTTTATCAATATTTGTCTTTTTTTGTTATTTTGGGGGGAAAATATTTGCAGAAGTGTGTTTTTAATGACATCCTCTTTTACATTATGATACAATTTAAGTGAAATTTTGCCATCAAGTTTTTAGCAAATTTGGGGCTCCCAACTCTTTGGAGGGGCTTTAATTGGAAGGAAGAGCGAGAATCATAAAGTTCTGACTAACTTATTGAAGAATGAAAACATTTACCGAGGTAATCACCATCTTGGCAATCTTTTTGCCCTGATACACACCCTCTTCTTCTTTACTGCGCTATACAGTGTTTCAATAAAAAGTTTAAAGAAATTGTTTAACAATGCCAAATCTGAGATGCATGGCCCTACAAGTTATCAGTGTCTGTGAGTATGATATGGTGTAATATTGAAGCCCTGAACAAATTGCGCTTCAAAATGCCTCAAAAAAAGTAAAAATCTTTGAGTGACCGGTTTTGCCAACTCATTTTTTCCAATAGACTGTAGTGTAACGGTTTTTGAACTTTCAAATTCCGATCATAAATATCTTGATAATCAGACATGCGATCGGCTTGTAAACGTCATGGGATTCCTGACTGACCTAAAGGTTTATAATTATGATTGCAGCATTAGCTTAATCCATGATTTTGTTTAGAATCTGAGACAAAGATACCCAATCCCTTTAAGTTAATAATGACATTCATAGCCATATTCACATTCATATTTGTATTCACAATAACTTTTCATATGGATATGAATAAGATTCACTTTTCAATGTGAATTTAAAAATACGGATATAAATATGAATAAGAATAAGAAAATGAACATATATGTACGTGTCTCTCTCTCTCTCTCTCTCTCTCTCTCTCTCTAAGTGCCATATCGTTTGACTTTGGCGATCATGCAGTTCCACAACCCTCGGCTCCTAGCCTTCTGTATTAGTACCACTCCCTGTTCTTTCACTACTCTCTCTCTCTTCCAACAATTTCTGCAGACTGTCCATCCAAAGTATTCTCCTTCTTCCCCTACTCCTTCTTCCCACAATTTTCCCCTTCAAAGCAAGATTCTCTAGGCCTTCTTTACGTGTAATGTGACCCATGAACTTCAACTGCCTAATCAACATCTCACGTATCATTTTCCTTTGTACTCCAGCTCGTGTAAAAACTTCCTCGTTACTAACTTTGTCAGTCAAGGGGATTTTTATCATTCTTCTTAAAAAACACATTTCGCAACTTTCCAAATGCTTTTTAGTATCAGAGACTAAAGTCCATGTTTCACTACCATACATAAGTACTGGGTAGATGTAACAATTCAATACTCTTATTCTGGTCCTCATACTCATTGTTCAATTCGTCATGTACGCGGCGTATTCATGTGAATGTGAATGTGATTTAAATATGAATATGATGTGAAAATGGATATAATTCAAGATTTATTCATTCCATTCAATAAAAAACATATATGTATATAAAAGATAACACAAGTGTAAAAAAAAAAAAAAAAAAAAAAATACAAGTTATACAAACATCGGAAGGTCACTGATCAGTACATTTAAAGGTAAAGAAATCAAATGGAATTTGGGTCACTGCAAAAGTTCAAATAAATATGAACTTGTCGAGGCTGTGCCAAAGGTTTGAATTAAAATATTTTTGCAATAGATAACTATGTACATAAATAATTTACTGGACAATAACAAAACAATACAAAACGAAACAATATTCATTCCATTCAATTAAAAACATATATGTATAGAAGGAACAAAAAAACAAAAAATGAAATTCCTTTTATCACATAAAATAGTATACAGGGGTTATGTACTCGCTAATAAATAAGATTTGAGTTTCCTTTTAAATCCATTAAAATTTCTAGTTTGACATATTTCCTGAGGGAGTGCATTCCAGACAAGAGGTGCAGTATGTTTAAAAGAAAAGGACACAAAGTTTGTTGTACATTTGAATATATGAAATTTCTCTCTATGACGAGTGTTATAGCTATGGATTTCATTGTTAAAAGTTAATAGCACTTGCAGATTTTCAGGCAGTGATGTGTAAACATATCTAAAGAGCATTAATCCTACTAAATACTTATTAAGCTGATATATATCAAGTGCTAACCTTTCAGTTTGAGAAATAAAGGTTTAGAATGTGCATGGAAATCAGATAAAATACAGCATCTAACTACTCTCTTTTGTAATTTTAAAAGTTTATCTAACTTTGATGGATATGTAATTCCCCAAACAATATTTCCATAACTAAGATGAGGCAAAACTAATGTATTATATAGTAGAATAAGAATTTCTTTAGGTAAGAGATAACGTAGTTTGCTAATGATACCAACACCTTTTGAAGTCGTATTAGTTACCGCAAGAATTTGGCTATTCCAAGATAAGTCTTCATCAATTACAATACCTACAAATTTGGTAAAAATGACTCGTTTTATATCGAGTTTGTTGATTTTAACTACCAGATCATGTGCATTGTTTCTGTTACTTTTTAAATTATAGAAGTACATATATACAGTTTTTCTACATTAATAGATAGCTTATTTAAATTGAACCATGTAGATACATTTTGTAGATCAGTATTAAGCATAATTTGTAACTTTGTAATATCATTATGACTAATCAAAATGTTGGTATCATCAGCAAAAAGTACAAGTTTAAGAACAGATGAGCAATTGGAAAGATCATTAATATAGAGTAAAAAAAGCAACGGACCCAGGATTGAACCCTGTGGTACACCACACACAATTTGTAAATTATTTGAAGTAACATCGTTGAAATGTACCACTTGACTTCTATTTGTTAAATAATTCTCAAACCAAGTTAAAACAAGCCCGCGAAATCCATAATTTCTTAACTTATATAGCATTATATTATGATCAATTGTGTCGAAAGCTTTGCTTAAATCTAAAAATATTCCGA